TTCTTATTATTATTATTATTATTATTATTATTATTATTGTCATGGAAGGCATCTCAGACTTGCATAAAGGTTTTCTTGGACAAGTGTCTAAGGAAGTTACTGAGGATTAGATTATGGACAGACAGGGTCACCAACGAGGAAGTGTTAAAGAGAACAAGACAGAGACCAGTCAGAGTCCAGATGAGATGGGAAGAAGGCTGTGGTGATGGATTGGACATATTCTCAGGAAGTCAGGAAGCTGCATAACAAGGAAAGTGTTGGATAGGAACCAACAGGATAAAAGATCAAGGGGAAGACCATGTTGAACCGGGAGAAGAGTCACATAAATCGATGCACAAGACATCACGAGGCTAGCTCAGGATAGGGAAAGGTAGACAGTGTTTGTTCGTGGCCTATATCCTGACGCAGGGCCAGAAATGCAATGATGATGAGGTGGTGGTGGTGGTGATGATGATTAAAAATGTCTGCACTCACTTGAGTCCGTCTATCTGCAGTCCAGGGCTGTGTATCAACCGTCCGAATCTGAACACATCCGGGGTGGACAGACCCACAACACAGTCTCTGCTGTACACACCAGACCCATGGTCGCTGTATCTGTTCACCGAAACTCCCATGCTGTTGCTATTGTTGTTGCCACTAGTGCTGTTGTTGCAGTAGGCGAAATCTGCGACCCTACAGTCGTCCATTAAAGGGATGCCGAGTTCTCCACATGTAGGCATAAAGTCACGTGTATACGGGCTGTCATGTGACATCTTGTGGCTCCGTCCACAATCTGACAGTTTCTGGATGACCACTGAGGGTATACCTGAGCTGGGACACTGGGGGGATAACTGTCGCATCCTGGTGGTCAGTTAGTGACAATTATGGCGCTTTTGATCTGATTTCAGAAATGTCTTCTCAGCAAAAAGGTAACTTTATACTGTTTTATCCTACTGTACAGATGTCATTCAATAAATTTTTGTTTTGATTTCACGCGAGAACGAGGCTGGAACAGCATTTAAACATAGCCAGCTGGTAGCTCTAAAAATGTGCAGTGGAACCTGCTCTAACGGCCACCTATCTAAAACAATCACCTATACAAAACAAACACTTCCGCCCTTGGGTTTTATGACGTTGTTATCCAAGATATCCACCTGTCTAAGAAAACCACTTTTCTCCTCGTCAACGGCTGGTGGTCTTTATTAATGGCCCTACAGCACAGCTTGCACCGATGTTGTCCTGAATTCAGAACGATCACCTCATGAGGAAGGTAAGGGCGTTCTCTTGTATCGCAAGTCTTGGAAAGTGGCGCGCTGATGACGGAGGAGAAGCTGGGATTCCAGTTTTGCTGTAAATTTGGTTTCAAATCGGATACAGCTTCTTTCTGGTGGGGAGGGTGGATGAGAGGGAAAAAAATACAAATTAGTAACTTGCATAAGACCTAGATTGCTAAAATGTTATGTATCACCCATTAACCCCGCATTGTAACAAATAGTAAATAATAATATGAACATTCAAATCGTCTTTACCATATCATTATAAGTTTTTCTTAACCCACGTATATTGCTAATTCATTTTGCAGAGAAAGTTAAAGTCTGTTCAGATCAGAGAATGGAAAGAAGCAACTGAAATCAGCAGACAGTTCAGGAATTATATCTCTGACTTTTTTTACGCTTCCACAGTTTAAAAAAAAATGTTTTACTATTAATGTATGTAGTGTAATGGTAAGTTCTTTTACCATTGTAAAACACAAACTGAGTAGGCTTCGGCCGCCTACCGGGCAAAATTCAAAATTAATACCTAGAAAACTAAAAATGCATAATGTGTCCCTCGCGCTCATATGACCTTGTGCAGTTGTGAGCGCCATAAAACACTTACAAAAAAATCCCCACAAACCACACATTAATTTCAGACCGTAGACTTGTATTATAATGCCTTAGCTCGTGCATTCTAGCTCATTAAATTTCTGGTTCACCTTGGAGAGCGCCATTTGGATCGAGTAAAGGAAAGGTGCCGCACGCAGTGAGAAGTAATATATAGATCTAGACACTGCTAATTCTCACTTCATATAGGCGTAATGGCGTGACCGTAGCGAAGTTTTTACAGAGAGCGAAAAGCGGCAGTAATGACAGTACATGATCAAAGTGTACAGGTCTATGCTTCTGATATATGGTTGTTGTTGTTGTTGTTGTTGTTTGTTTGTTTGTAATTGTTGTTGTTTTTGTTGTTGTTGGGTTTGTTTTGTTTTGTTTGTTGTTTTGTTTGTTTTTTTTGTTGTTGTTTTGTTGTTGTTGTTTTGTTGTTGTTGTTGTTGTTTTGTTGTTGTTGTTTTGTTGTTGTTGTTTTGTTGTTGCTGCTGCTGCTGCTGCTGCTGCTGTTATTGTTGTTGTTGCTGTTTGTTGTTGTAATAACAAATAAGCACTGGCTCGGCCCATTTACCGAGAGAACCCGTTTTCGTCCAACAATTTGTAGGAAGTAGGTTTTCGTGCACAATGGGAATTTTTTTTCAACAGTTAGCAAAATAAATGTCTCCGATAGAATAGTTTCGATAAAAATCCTTTTGAAAGAAACATTTCGTTTAAAATCTTTTTTGAATACAGGGTAAAACTTTGTACATCGTTCATAGTCAGTCTGCCACTGTATCATGAGATGATAGTATTGATAGGCTGGAATTTCCAGCAAAAAGCAGATATACGGTCTTTTTGTGAAATAAGACCATCTTCTTACTTCTTTGTTAGTTCTTGTCTTTTTAGTTCTGCCATTTTTCTTCTCCGTGTCTGTAGCATTGGTCTGCTCGATGCTTTAATTTTTAGCTATGTTTTGATTTGCTCATCCTCGACACTTGATAACTAGGCAAAGACATAAGGGTGAGAACTTGTAAACATGTCTGCAAAATGTTGCAAAATGTCGATGAAAACTTTCACATCCGTCATTTGTCGTTCTGTGATTTCCAGATGTGCATGTCCAAAGGAAGGGAGGGAAGTTAGAGCTGGATAATATGTAGTTGCTGTTTTTTAAAATAGAAATTGAAAGATACAGAGAGAGAG